CGGTCCAAGTCTTCCCCAACACCGCGCCGTCCTCCAACACCAAGACAGCGCCCGCGCCCTGCTGCAGCAAATTCATGGCTTCCTGCACTGCGACGATATGCGACTGGGCGGGAGCTTGGCAGCCGTTGCATGACGTGCATCTACATCTCAAGGATTTGAGCGATCATCAGAGACTCCTGCAGTCGAGCCACTGCCTGCGACTCCCCTCCCACAGGGATGACGGCTCCGTCTGCGCCTGCGGTTCATCGAGCATTCAGCACTCGGCACTGTCTTCCAGCTTCAGGCTCGCAGCAGCTTGCAACTACTGTGAACAGGTCTTTTCTGAACTTGACATTGAGGCTCTGCCAAGCAAGGTGGATGCACCGAGCCTCAAGGACATTCTGAGGGACACCGGCTGCCAGCTCTGCATCCGGCATGGCCTCAGACCGCTCCCAAGGCAAGAACACGGCTTTTCCAGCTTTCGCAAGTCTTTCTTCGAGGCTGGAGAGATTCTGAGCCGTTGAAGGGGGTTCCCCAGCCCACAAGCCAGTGTCAGCCTCCAGCAAGAGAAGGGCTGTCCCACGTCATGATAGTCTGTTGTCTTCACTCAGCATGCCGACTTTGTGACATGAAGTGCGGGATTCCAGGCCTTGGCTGGGGCCTTTGGGGCATTTTGAGGTCCCTGCCCTGGTGTTTTGGGGTTTTGGGCGCGTGGCATCGTGCAGTCATCAAGAACTGGTTTCGTCGAGCATGCGAAGCTGTTTAGGGTGTGGAGAGTCGGTTGAGGCTTGGAGTTTACGTTGCTAGGGTTTTGAGAGTCTAAACATGTGCGTTCCAGTTTTGGATCTTTCAGACTTTCAGGCTTCTGGCCCAAGGAATAGTACTGAGACACTACACGGACGACTACAGGTCCATCTAGGCCACTCAACCCTACATGTTGGGCTTCGTTCGGGAATCGTTCTGTCCAATTTGGGGACGTCGTCTAATTTCCAAAAGTTCCTTCCCGATAACCTCGACACCCTGACTAAACCCTAAACTCCCGAAACCCTCTCTTGAAAGAAACAAAGAGCTAAGGTTATGTGGCAACATTGCCGTATTGACAGTATCGTCTTTAGGGCGTGCCCTTCATTTTACAAGTCAACGCTAGCATTTGTCATCTTCGACAACCGCATGCTTTAAAACCAACATACGATAATTTTGACCCCAGCTCATTGTCGATCGCTGTCTGAGACGCATGTCAGCACATGCGGAGTCTGAACAGCGCTCCCTTCACTTCACGGCTGGAAAGCTGTGACAAAGCATGCAGCTGATGGTCTGCTTCTGCGTAGCTTCGTCTGGGATCGTCATCAGCCCGCCATAGGAGCGTGAGGTGCTCAATCAGTGTGCTCTGGTATGACTTCGGATCCAGGAGTCTGACAAGCAAGGACACCCATTTCTGACGCTGAGACTTCGTCAGTGTACGCAAAACCCATGGAAGAGGCAATGAACATCGCAATACCTGGATCGAGTTCTCTTCGCTAATTTCAGCGGTCTCTGGTAGCCGGTCTGCCATTAAGCCCAGCATGGCATCCGCAATCAGTCGCTGCACAGATGGGTGGCTGCCAAGGCCTGCGTGGTTCAGAATAAGATGGTGCGCGGACCGACGCACAGATTCGTCCACGTCGTGGCAGTGCACAAACAAGTTTCGAAGGTTTGCTTGCACGATATCGCAGCCATCACTTTCCGGAAACATTTGGGTGTAGTGGCGAGCTCTCGCCAGTCTCATACACCACCATCGGCCTGGGATTGAACAGGGGGGGACACCATTTGGCAAACAGACCTGGTCTCCGCGGATCCTGCTTACTATCAGCCAGGAGACACTCGAAGAGTTTCCTTTCCGTGACATCTGGAAGGTTAGACCTCTTCATCCACTTTGCAGAAAAATCGAGAATTGACTCGGACCTGCCCAGTCGTGGGTGCACCACGCGTGTGGCCATGCAATTGCTACTTGGAAGCATTTTAGGATGCACCCACACCTGTCCAAGCTGCCCATTGCGGTCAGGTGCTGTATGAAGACCTCGGTCTGCATTCTAATGATAATGCTTGCGCTGGTCTTCCTGCAATGCGGTGTGCTTTGCAACATGACATACGCAAAATGCGCAAAGCTCCCTGCCCTGGGACGTCTGGTCTGCTGGGATGTCCGGCGCCACTCCATAATGTCATCCACCTATTAGGGCACATGTGCAGGCATCCCCCCCGGGCATCTGGGACTCTGCCAGATCAACTGCTTTCACACCCCTTTGCCGCACAGGTCACCAGCCCCTACTGCAGGCAGGGCGCGCTGAGGTACTCCAACAAGCTCGGCCTCAGGACATCTGACTCACGCAGAAGTCCGCTCGACGCGCCCACAGCTTTTTTTAACTGTCAAGTTGCAACAAGAGCCGTGGGGGGTCGCACGGGTCCAGAGCATTCGTCCCAGACTCCTTCGAAGACCTGGGCTGCACAGCTGCGCCGTACACGATACTGCAGTGTTCCACGTCGCTGCGAGCTTCGATGCGCAGCCGTGTCGAAACCAAGGAGACAAACACTGCCCAGTCGGTGAGACCAGCCGATGTATTGCGCATACCGAGAGAGTGCTACAATTGACAGTGTTCCCGAACCATCCCTCACAGATGAAGGCATCAGCTAAGCATTGCTCACAACAATCGGAGTAGTAGCATTCAGTAAAGCTGATTCGCAAACTGACTCCTAAAAGATCAATTTAAGCAAGCCTATAAGGCGAAGCCGAGGTTTGATCCAAAGGGTTCATCCGAGCTTCTGCGGCACCTGCTCCTCGCTCGCTTCAGGCAGCACCGCACCCTGGGAGCGCAGTGTCCCAAGGATGCCAGCACCTGGGCGACCCCGCTTGCAACCAGCCATTCTGCACAAGAGCCTGCGTCGTTTCCTCGCCTACGGCTGGGGTTTTTGTACATTAGCGGGGACTCCTCTCTGACCCCTTCGAAGCAATCCAGGCACGCCGATCACTGCTGCGCTCCAGCTGCTGCGGCGTCTCCTCGATGCTGTGCAGCGCGAGCCATGAGGACTGCGGGGCAGTCCTTGTATCTCAACGCCCATGGTTCGGAAAGACAGTCAACATCAACGACATCTGGCAAACGCTTCTATATGTAGGAGACAATGCAAGCAATGGGAGATGTAAAGCAGCTTGTCCACGCTATGACGGCAAATCTCGACCTGTGCTCTGATTGTGTTCAACCATGATCAGTCGGAACTCCTATCATGATACTCCATGCTGCTGCTCTCCATGTCGGTGATGATGAATTCTGTCCAGTCGGCACGCTTCGAAATTCACCCTGGTGGGCGCATGTAAATCACGCAGCCATCCCCCGATTTGCTTGTTGGAATTCCTGAAGCAGACTGAGGAAGATACCTCACCTTTGCATACCCAGTACATTGAAGAAATCTAGAGATGATTGAGTCTTCCGGGTGTTGTTTTCGACGGAAGAACTTTGCTTCCTTGCTTCCTTGCATGAGCCGTGTTCCTCGTGGTTTTCTTCCGCCTGCTTTCTCTTTTCTTCCCTCATTCCTCATTCCTTGCTTGCGGGCTTGTTCGGCTTTCTGCATCCTCTCTTCCTGCCTGGCCTGTCTTTGCCTGAACGAACTCAAAAACACACCCGACCAATGAGCAGAAAGCAAACTACAATTCTTGGATGCAAGTGGCTGGAATTCAGACGTGTCTGCCTGGGCTGCCTGAGCAGGACAGGGGCCCCCGCTGTATTGCGCTTTTCGGCCTTGATGTTAAGGTCAACGGAACAACGGAACAGGAATTCCATCTATCCTGGGAGTTGTGAAGGAGTAGAACCTCAGGACGATGGACAGTATGCAGGCGAGAATAAGGCCCCTGGCTGCATCGGTAGCACTACAGTAGTTACCGGTAAGTCCCATCCACAGCCAAAACCCTCAGAGCCTGCCTCCGACGTAGACTCATCTTCGCTGTCGGGGCAGCATGTCTCGGGCGTCCACGGCTCGCCGGCATCCTTGTCACGGCATTGTCGGGGCGTCGAGGGCCTGAGCTGTTTCACACGAAAGCTAGTAACGGAGGAAGGAAGCGCAGCCATCGTCGCAGGCCCGCAGACCAGTCGAAAACAGCAACGATTGCCGGCCAAGGCGCGGTGCACGGCCAGCACTGAGGAAGAGCTCGGCAGCAATTGGAGGTGCGCCCTCCGCTGCCACGGGCTCCTGTCATCATGCCGGCCGTCTTGGATGAGAGTTTCGACAGGTCTGCAATTCTGCAAAAATTCCATGATGTTCCATAAATACCGATGCTGATCCAAAAATCTCGGACTTAGATGCGTTGAAGTCATCTGCGGGAGAAAATGCCACTGGAGCTCGGAGGATAAATCTTGGGGAAAAAATGGCCTTCTGAAACTGTCTGCTGTCCTCGGCAGCACATTTCTCTGCCGGGAGCCGCTCCACTTTGCATTGCCTGGGCATGACTTGCTGCTGGCCAGCATGTCAGCGCAGCTCGCGCGGCGGAAGATCGAAACCGAGCATAGTTTGAAGTTGCCTGAAGACGTCACAGACTTCGGCCTAAGTGAGGGGGCTGGCTGATCCGGCTTCGGGAGCCGCGCGCGCCGCCGTGCGGAAGCAATGTGACAAAGACTGCTCAGTCGGCGAGGTGAGGACAGAGCATAACAATACTATTGCAAGAGAAAGTGCTCCCCGGACCACCCGTCACAAATGACGGCATTAGCCAAGCCTTGCCGCAACAGCACTAAGCGGCCGCAAATCAGATCACAACAATCGGAGCAGCAACGTTCAGTTCCGAGAAGATCAGTTAAAGCAACGGCCTACAAGGGGAAGCCGAGGCACAGCCGGAGCTCCAGCTGTTGCCGTAGCTGCAAGGACCTAAAGCCAGACGCAAACTGGACCTATAGGGGTCATGATCAGCATGCCCTAGATTCCTGCACTCTGCCGAGGCACTCCTCTTGCAGCTCGAGGACCTGTCTCTCGAGCTCCTGGATCCGAGCCTGCAGCTTTGGCTTTGCTGACGCTACCGGGATCCTTCGTTTCCGTTTTCTCTACGCAGACTTCGCAAGCATCGGACCAAGCTCATTGTTGTGACAATCTGAATCCCAAACCTCGCCGGAGTCCGCCCTTGATTAACCAAGCTTTTCGAAGCACCAGGTTTCCTCAACTGGCACCCACAATCGGCAGGTTTCCGGGCTGCATCCAGGGCTGCCGCTCTGGAACGGCCTGGTCGCAACAGCTCGGGGGCTGGGGTTTGCTGCCTCCCCCCACCACCGCCCCCTGCAACCCTAGTTATTATTTATCCTGCATGGTCAGGTGACAGTCTCAATATGTGACGCAGGAAATATGCAGGGGTCGCTGAGACATGGGCTTCGCGTTCCTAATTAGGCCCACAGGTTTCGACAACTCACGGCTGGAAACCCTCTCGCACAACGGCGATTCGTCAAGACAAATCTCTTCAACAAACTAACGTCTTGATGAAGGTTGTTTAGAAGAGATGTGACTTCCAGTCTTTCGAAACGGAAAACGCAGCAAAGGAGCAGAGAGCGGCGCAGTTGCTGCTGCCTGACGGGTTTCCGAAGCTCTCATCTTGGACGTCGGACATGGTCATTGAAAGGCTTGGAAAGATCTAGTACTCGTCGTTCTAAACGTGTTGAATCTGAAGACTTCGACCATAAACACAAAGATTGTCGACGGCCTCAGGTCACAGGGTGTCCAGGCATTCAGGCAAGCACGGCTTTGGGAAGGCACCTCCTGCTTGTGCAAATATGAATAAGAAACGGGATTTGAAGATGCCGACATCCGATGGACAGGACCGAAGGACGAAGCTTGGGCACATGTCGAGTCTCGCAAGGAGCTTGCCCGGAACACTCTGCGCAGAGGGACCGGGAATGAAAACCCTAAAACGTACAATCGCTGCGGATAATGCCCATACAGCATCATGGGCAAACTTGCTAAGGCTTGTTCAACCCCTACCCCACCCCCATGCCGCCTGCTATGGCCGGGGACGAGCCACTGGAGCCAAGCCTGCGCGGCAACGTGCCCGCGTCGGACAACATCGAAAAAATTGCGATTAAGAAGGTGCTGCTGTATGAGGACCACTATGCTCTGCCATGCTCGTTCTTCTTGCAAACATGCGCGTTGAATTGTTGAATCTGCTCTATACAGCTTTGCACAACGCTGGTCCCACTCGTCCACGGATCCTTGACGTCTACATGGAATAGCCTTTTGAAGCCCAGCCAACAGCACCGGCCTGCGCTTTTCGCGCGCCTTGCTCGCAGAGGTCGCCACCTGGCACGGAAGCGCCGTGCTCCGCTCTGAAAGACCCGCCCTTGAGTCGCGAAAAGCGAATTGCCATGCTGAAATGTTCATGCGACAATCGCACCTGCCCAGGACAGCAGCACCCTCTCCATGCTGAGCAGCCAGGCCACGTTACGGATGCATGCGTTTGCTTTCTGGATGCACCACATGGCCTTCGAAGTCAGCCTATACGGTGTGGCATCGAGAACGTGAGGGTGCGAACCTCTATAGCATGTTGTAGCACGAGCAATCGTACTACCAGTTACTAACCTGCTCTAGAAAGCTGCTCTTGGCCGGTAGCACCGCAGGACGCATTTCCAAGTTGCCACAGCACACCCAGCATGCGCGCAAGACGGAAGCAAAGGCCTAGCAAGTGATCAGGAGCACAAACACGCTTTGGGCCCGCACCTTTCCCAAGCTTAAGCAGCGCTTTCATAACCCCTGCCCCAAATCGACAACCTCCAGCGAGACTGAATTGAGCAGTTAGCAGACAGATTCCAACAGAAGCTGTAACATCAGTAGCACTAGTGGCTAGTGAAATACACACCCTTCTTTTGCGACTGCTTGGGCAATGAGGAACGTGACGAGTACTCGAGCATCTGCGCAGGCACGAAAGAATAACAAGCCCTGCCGATACTTTTCAGAGTCAGTAACCCAGCGTTCAATGAAGATTGACCCACTGTGCTCGGAGCGGAAGTCGAGCTGTGGACTGTAGATTGTAGAGTTCACAAGTCCATTCTTGAGGTGTCAGGGACTGCTCCCACCGCAAGTTCCGCACTTGCTTAATTAATCGCTCGCAACTTCTTAGAATGGGCAGCAATATGAGCATGCACATGCCAATGCTTGAGTGCCCCCGCATTCGTGTGTTGCACTACATTCCGCGAAGTG